AAGGGTGGACCCCATGAACCCCCTCCCCTCCCCCCACCTACCCCGGCAGAGCCCCCCCGGCCCCCCCCCAGCAGAGCTGAAGCTAAGGTTGTAGCTGTCTTAAACTCACACGCCGGATCGGCGGATTTCCAGAGTTAAGTCATTCCCTAGGCTGCCCTTGCCCCTCACCTGGCAGGGAAAGGAAGCAAACGGAAAAAAAGACGGAAGGAAACGGCACAGAAAAAGACACAAAAGAACATTGAGAGAAACGGCAGGAAACGATAGGAAACAAGGAGGGAAACGGAAGGATACGAGAGGGAAAAGGAAGTGAAACGGAAGAAAACGAGTCGGAAAAGGACGGGAAACGGAAGGAACAGTGGGGGAAACGGAAGGAAACGAGGGGGAAACGTAAAAGGAAACGTAAGGAAGCGAGACGGACAAGCAAGGGAAATTGAAGGAAACGAGAGGGAACATGGCACAGAAGGAAAACGGAAGGAAACGGAAGGAAGCGAGAGGGAGAAGGAAGGCAAATGGAAGGAAACGGGAGGGAAAATGAAGGGGAACGGAAGGAAAAGCGAGGGAAACGGAAGGAAACGACAGGGAAAAAGAAGGGAAACGGAAGGAAACGAGACGGAAAAGGAGAGGAAACGTCAGGGAAAAGAGCGGGAAACGGAAGGACACGGAAGGGGAAAGGACTTTGAAGGAGAAGGGAAGGCCACGGAAGGAATAGGGATGAACAAAAAAAACACGTAAGAAAAAGGGACGGAAATGGAAGGAAACAAAAGGTTTGGTTCATCCAGGGCATTGTTGTTAGCGTTTTCAGCTCGGCGTCTTGGAAATCATGTTTGAAGCGTTGTGAGGCATCAACCAAAAATCTAAAACACCCATGCGTTTTATTTTTTTAGACCATGTTTAGAGTTTTCAGATCCGTGGATTGCGTGTTTCCTTTGTCTTTGCGCCCTATCGTCTTCCATATGCAAGGTTGTTTTTCTGTGGCCGTCGCTGGTGCCTCGTCGCGGAAGCCCGCCCTCCCCTGTTGCCACCCCCCCTCCGGTATTAGACCGTCGTCAGAGCGTTGTTTTGCGTTTTTAGGTCTCCGCGCGGGAACCGGTTTTTTAGGCATCCCCCGTGTACGCAGTTCATGGATCAAGGCAGGTGCGTCGACCTGGGAGAGGAAGGGGAGGCAGAAAGGGCGGACGGTGGCAGGGCGTGGAGCGCGGGAGCCAAGCTGGCAGAGAAGACAAAGAGGAGCCTTCGACGATAATGCAAAACAAAACGCAACACAACGCTGTACCACAGCGACGAACCTGAAAACGCTCCAAAAAACGGCGTGTGTTGAGCGTCTTCAGCCTGTCAAGAGCCCAAACTGGAAAACGCAAAAAAATACGCCAAGGGCGTTTTTAAGATGAGTCACGACAAGAGGGCAGAGGCAGACGACCATAGCTGCTTCTGTTGCCGAGTCAGAGGCAGACGACCATAGCCGCAGCCATCGTCGTGTAGTTTGTGTCGCCTTGCAGACAACGTGGTAGGTACACGCATCCTGCAGTTTCTTATCCGCCTCCTTATAGCCGTTCGTTGCCCTCTGCAATACAACGCGTAGGGGCAGTGTTCGGTATAGCCTGCCGCCTGAAGTGCGCGAGCGCGTACAAAGCAGACACTTACACAAAAACATACACTTGCAACGGCAACTTGGGTGTTCCAGGAACGGCTTCGCCTCGACGGATCGAGCAGTTTTTCTTCGGCTGAACGCCAGCGAGAGGCGGCCGAAGTAGAGCGGGCGCGGATCCGCCGGCGGAAGGCCTGCGGAAGCCCTGGGAAGCAAAAGGCTCTCCCCAACAACATGCCGTTGTTTGTGACTCATGGTGTCCGGATTGAGCTCTTGTGCCCAGACTTTCTCGGAGGTTGATAGACCTCCTACCCTGACACGTCGATTAAGGAATTGGCCGTTTTCGGTTCGCGAGACGGCGTCGCGGCCATCATTTTTGCAGGTCCAGGTCCGTCGGTTTCGGTCCCAAGCCGTTTTCATTAAGGGAAGGTTTACTAAAGGGAGTTTTGTCCACCGCCGACTTTCTTGGGTTCTTGAGTTTGGGGGCTCCCCGTTTTCATGTATTCATTGTTGGTCGCAGAGGTAGTCTTCATGGTACCCAATCGGCCGAGACGATTGCAGGCTTCACCACCGTGCCACCACAGCGTCTCAGGGCTGAGTACTTAGGAGGATGGGTAAACTCATCATGATGGCGATTATGACGATGATGATCCTGTTGTAGTAATTCATGATGGTGACGACGACGGCGAGGACGACGACGATGACACCGACGACGACAGTTATGATGATGACGATGCTGATGAGGATGATGGTGGAGAGGATGATGGTGATGGTGATGACGATGATGATGATGGTGATGAATGTGGCGATGTGGTGACGGTTCGAGCAGCACCCTCAATTTCAAAACCATGCAGTTGCTATGCAGTTGCCACGCAGTTGCCATGTTATTGCCATGCGATTGCCGGGCTATTGCCCTGGTAGTGTCATGCGATGGCCATGCAGTTGCCATGCGATTGCCATGCAGTTGCCATGCCATTGCCAGGCTATTGCCATGCGATTGCCATGCTATTGCCATGCGGTTGCCATGCATTTGCCATGCAGTTGCCATGCTATTGTCATGCAATTGCCATGCAGTTGCCATGCAATTGCCATGCTATTGCCATGCAGTTGCCATGCGTCCTGCGATAATCATGCGATTGTCATGCAGTTGCCATTACATTGTAATTCAATCGCCATGCAGTTGCCATGCTATTGCCACGCAGTGGCCCTGCTATTGCCGTGCAGTTGCCATGCTGTTGCCCTGCGATTGCCATGCGATTGCAATGCAGTTGCCATGGCATTGCCATGCGATTGCCATGCAGTTTCCATGGAATTGCCAGGACCTTGCCATGCTATTGCCATGCAGTTGCCATGCTATCGCCATGCGATATCCATGCCATTGTCATGATATTGCCATGTCAGTGTCGCGCGATTGCTATGCGGTTGCCATGCTGTTGACATGCGATTGCCATGCGATGGTCATGCAGTTCTCATGCAGTAGCCATGCTATTGCCATGCGATTGTCATGCTGTTGCCATGCTATTGCCATGCAATTGTCATGCGATTGCTATGCTATTGTCATGCGTGCGTTATGCAGTTGCTATGCAGTTGCCAGCTATGTTCATGCGATTGCACTGCAGTTGCCATGGAATTGCCATGCGATTGCCATGCAGTTGCCAAGCTATTGTCATGCTATTGCCGTACGATTGTTATGCAGTTTCCATGCCATTAACATGCGATTGTCATGCAGTTGCCATGCTATTGCCATGCGATTGCCATGCAGTTGCCATGCTATTGCCACGCGATTGCTATGCAGTTGCCATGCCATTGTCATGCGATTTCCACGCTATTCTCATGCAGTTGCCCTTTGATTGACATGCAGTTGCCATGCTACTGTCCTGCAGTTGCCATTATACTGCCCTGCAGTTGCCATGCTATTGTCCTGCAGTTGCCATGTTATTGCCATGTTATTGCCATGTCATTGCCATGCAGCTGCCATGCTGTTGGCCTGCGACTGCCATGCGATTACCATGAAGTTGCCATGCTATTGCCATGCGATTGCCATGCAGTTTCCATGGAATTGCCATGCAGTTGCAAAGGCATTGCCATGCAGTTGCCATGTTATTGCCATGCCATTGCCATGCTATTGCCATGCGATTGCCATGCAGTTGTCATGCTGTTGCCATGCGATTGCCATGCTGTTGTCATGCTATTGCCATGCGATTGCCATGCAGTTGTCATGCAGTTGCCATGCTACTGTCCTGCAGTTGCCATTCTACTGCCCTGCAGTTGCCATGCTATTGTCCTGCAGTTGCCATGCGGTTGTCATGCTATCTCCATGCTATTGCCATGCGATTGCAATGCAGTTGCCATGCAGTTGCCGTGCAGTCGCCATGCTTCATAGTATTATCCTGGCAGTAGCATGGCAATACAATTGCAATATCATTTATATTTATTGGCACTAGCATGGCTATAGCGGGCCCACTGAAAAGGGTCAACATCCTTACTAGTTTTCAGGGGCTCCCGAAACCAGCCTTGGGGTGGTGGGTCGGGGTCGGTTCCTGGCGAGGAAGTGTCGGGTGGAGGGTCCGAAGAAAAGAAGTCCACAGGGTGGGGGTGCCAGGGCGTGGCGAGGAGTCAGGGTGGGGGGTCGGGGTCGGTTCGATGTCAAAATCTGTCGGGTGGAAAGGTGAGGTGTCAGAGTGGGGGGTCGGGGTCCGGTTCTGGGCGAGGAAGTGTCAGGTGGAGGGTCCCAAAGACAGAGTTCCACAGGGTGGGGGTGCCGAGACGTGGTGATGGGTCAGGGTGGGGGGTCGGGGTCGGTTCCAAGCGAGGAAGTGCCGGGTGGTGGGGGAACCCGAGGGCACGGGAGCCAGGGCTTGGAGAGGGGTTAGGGTGGGGTGTCGAGGTCGGGGCGGGCGAGGAAGTGTCGGGTGGAGGGTCCACACTTTGTGAGTTTTCGGGTTGTGTGGTTTATAAGATAAGTTATAATCTCGACAACTTAGGTTATAACCTGGCCAAGTGTATTTGTAGGTCGGCTAAGTTCCTAGTAGCATCTTATAAGAAAAAAATGTTATAACAAACATATATCAGCTTGCAGAGAGCTGCCCACCTTACTAACATACATACGGTGCACCACCAACAAGTTAGTATATTGGTCGTAACGCGTTATAAATGCATTTACTAGGCGAGCCAAAGTCTTACAACACTTATGGAACTTATGGAAGAGTTACGAAATACTTAAAACAAGTTATGAACAGTTATCGAACTGTTCAGCCCGACGTGGCGAACATTCACGATCAGGGTGTCAGATGTGTTGCCAAATGG